GGGAGGGAGGGAGGGAGGGAGGGAGGGAGGGAGACAGACAGACAGACAGACAGACAGACAGACAGACAGACAGACAGAGTTATTCAGTTAGATGGACTGACAAGACAAGAGAGCACAGCACCTGAAAGGCTTGCAACAGCTCTGGGTCCTTCAGGATTTGGGAGAGATCTGGCATTCCTGGCATACCTCCGGCTGAGCCTACAGGAGAGAAACCAAAACAACACAATCTACACAATGGCAACATTGTCAAACTTCAGTCTATTCATGTTTGTCTTTTCGGATCTGTTAGCCATCAATCTAAACAGCAATGTTACAAAATCCGGGATGCACTTTCGAGTGAAAAGAGGGGTGTTTGAAAATCAGGAGTTAGAGTGAGAGAAGAAAACAAAATCAAGAATGATTAAAAATGCTCAAAACACAAATTGTACTCAGAACCCCCTTCCCCACCCCATATAAAGATGTTGAAACGAAGTCTGATATTGAAATTCTTGTTCAACCGTAGCTGAGTTAAAACTGAGCCAACACGCAAAATAAATTTGTGAGGCAGCGTGGTGAAATCAGGCGCTCGTCAAAATAATGAAAGTCAAGAAACTGGCATTTTTCAGCAGGTTTGGGAACTTTTATCAAATTTTTGTTTTTTGGCTCAACACCTTTCATGCCTTTAAAAAAATACATTTTACTGAAAAACGTTGAAAGATGTAAATCTTCAGTTTCCACGGACTCCCAAGCTAAGGATATATCTCAACTTTGGCGGGCATTTTCTCATTAATCTTATCTCAGAAATCAGACAACCCCACCTCCTTCAATCGCCAATATCTTGATTTGTATCCAAGATAAATGGATATTTTTTCCATCAAAAGCAAGGCAAATGGACAGGCTTTAAGATAATATCAATAACTCCATAGGTCGCAAAATTGACAAGCGCCCGATTCCACCACAATGTAACACATATGCTTTTGATCATCATCATCACCGACTTAACAATTCCCCTTTCCCTTGTTTCTCTAAAAAAACATAACAATTTGCACCATGCCAATACATTTTTACGTAACCAACAAATATGGGCACCAAAATCAGGACACGGGACCAAAAAAAAAATTGCTTTTGTCTGATGCTCTTGCCCAGACACAGCGTCTAGGTGGATGGCCATTATGGTGGGGCGTCTTTGAACAAGAAATGATAACAGCTGCTAACCCCCCCCCCCCCCAAACATGATGCTGTGAAGGGGTGTTTATACAATTGCACAGGAGGTTTTTTCGGGGTATTTGGTAACTGATAAAATATTTGCATGTACTCAATTTGTGTGTTTAAGAGTATGTATGTATCTAGGTTTCATGAACGTATCATTACCTTTTTTGTATGGATTATGTAATTTGTTTCATTCATTCAAATTATTAAATGCTAAAGCAAGAAAAACTTCTGAAAAGGATGCATAAAGAGGAATTTGAGTCACTCATCTGTTGCAGTTCAAATTTCTTTCTTTTCTTTTTTTTTTTTACCTGGGAAAGCTCCTGGGAAACCGGCAAATCCCCCATCAGCTTCTGCGTTGCTGCTTTGTTGCTGAGGAACACAGATACAAAACAACAACTATCAAACCATATTGTATTTTGTTAAATTTTTTAAACCCTCTGACTGAGTATCTTTTAAGTTTATATCTCAATGATTTCATACTTTACCACTTTCCACCCACGCAGCTTGCAGAGGGCACAACCGTTGTCCCCATACACAAAGATGCAGATACGGTACATATATCAAATATACCCCAACCATTATGAAATTTTCAGCATATTGAAAAATTTGAACACAATGCTCGTATGTTCACCAATAAAGGAATTAGAATCGGAACTGGAAGCATTAGATCTAGCGCATTCATCACCCGAATTCTCATCATGACATAAGTGTAAGGCAACACTCATGCTAGGTCTACTCGACATAAAAATGAACTCCAATTGTAGTAAACAAACTGATTTTTTGCCTCAAAGGCTACACAAACCATTCAGAAAGGAAATTATAACTTCAACAAGTGTGCATGTCAAAAGGGAGAACATCGCTACAACATTTTTGTTGCCATATATCACACTGTCACCAATCGGTGTCCCATGGAGGGCAAAGTGTTAAACATTTTAACTCTTTTCCCCCTGACTGCCTAAATTTTAAGCTTATATCTCAATCCTTTCATTATTTTAACACTTTAACTCTTTTCTTTTTTTTTTCTTTGACTGCCTCTTGCCATGATATGATATCAGCAGACTTTACAACAATCTACCATTCCTGGTGAAAATACAGTCTGATGAAAATTTCCTGATCCTGCCTCCTTAATAATAAGTACAAATTGATGCTCTCCATATTGCAGTGACAATTTGAGAAAAACTATTTAAACAATCCCAATTCTGTTCCACTCACCTCCTTCTGTCTCTCATACTCCTCCCTTGCTCTCTTGATTTTCTCCTTTCTCTTCTTCAGATCCTTTTCCTCACGAATGCGCTCATACTTGCGGCGGTGCTCCATAATCTTTTTGGCCTGAGAACGGAATTTGTCAGTTCTTCTACTGACTTCAGTACACAATGACACTAAACTGCAGTAAAACCTTGCTATAAAGATCTCGGCTTAAAATGTACTCTCAGCTGTAACGTTCACTTTCTGAAGCTCAAAGTCCCATTTTACTCTTTAAAACTATCTCTAAAACATATCTGCAAAAAACGCACTTTTGCTATAACATTCACTTTTGTAGGGATTTTAGTAATCAAAAGTTCAATTACAACGTAGATGTACATTGTGAGAAAGAAGAAAAATGACAAAAAGTGATAGGTTTACCGTACTTAGAGATCAGCTATAGTGAGAGGGTGACCTCTTCGCAAGTATATGCCTGTTTTGCTGCAACTGGACCTATGCATCCCCCCCCCCTCCTCGTACACAAACACGCTTACGTTCAAGCACTTCTAAATCCTTTTTCTTCCCCAACTCCTCTTCCTAGCCCCTACCCACTGGTCTACTTGGCAAAAAAAGAAATCCGAAAGAAACACTTCGGTTCACTTTCTGATTTATCAGCATCATCACCATCATGATCCCTGCGCCAAAATATTAATAAATTCCTCATGTGTGTGCGTCTTTGTCACTTGAATTTAACACAATGAAAAACATCAAAACACTCATTCTTGATTTTAGCACCAATCTTACACCGCCAACGACCTTATTCTGCTTCTGTTGAATCCTCATACTGACAATTTCTTCAGATCTAGAATCTAGATGGATTTGAGAAAATTTATTTTTGATAATGATCTTTATTCAATAATCACAATTCAGTTTTCTCGATCAATGCCCAAATTTTTCAGCTGCGGCAAAGATCTGAAGACCAACTGTAAGAATGAATGAATGAAAGCAGGAAGCGGAAGAAACATAGCGCTATTGGGACTTGCCAGATTTTAGGCATTTGACATTGAAAATGTATTGCTGACTGACCCCAAAAGGAAGCATGGAGGGACAATGGTCGAGAGTATGAAATGGGCAATCTGGCAGGTTTCAAACAGGTCAACAACTTATTGCAGAGAGTTACTGTAAATATTCTAACTAAATAAAGAAAATATTGAGGAAAGTACGGATCCTTTGCCAATAATCCAACAATATTATAACTTTTTCTTTACAGATGGAGTAGATAAGATGAAGTGGCTGGCAGGTACGGAACTTTCAGAAACAACTAATTTTTGTAAAAATATGGAAGATTGGGAGCACTCAATATATGTCAGGGATGGAGGGAGCTCAGAGAGAGAGAGAGAGAGAGATAGAGCGTACATACGAGAGAGTTGAAAACTGACACAGTCATAAGACTTACATTAGCTGTAACCTCATGGAGAAGGGCATTTGCATCGTCATCATAGTCCAGTTTACAGGCCAAGGTCAAATCATGGTAGGATTCCTCCCAGCGACCCAGGAGCCTGGGTAGCAAAATAAGGAAGAAAAAAAAAAGTGTGAATTTATGTGGTTTCTTGTGTTGAATGGGCACATTCAACTTGACAAAGAAAAAGTTGTTCTGACAATTACATGAATGGTTCACTAGTTCGTTTATTATGCACATAGAAATTTTCTTTGCTTTATTTGCAGCATGAACAAGGGGGCTTTCGTGGTCTAGAGGTTCAGGGTTCGCCTCTCATTCAATAGGTCCAGGGTTCGAAACCTGACATTGATGGAAATTTTCTTCTCTAAAATGTTCTCCTTTCACCTCCTTTCCTGCTCACGGCGTCCAAAATTCCGTCTCAGCGATCTTTTAGTTAGTCCGGGCCCCCCGGGGTAGGCCATAAATCACCGGCAGGTGACCTGCAATTTCACGCGTCAAGTCGGGGATTGACCGGGGTCCTGTCTTCTCCTTATCAGAACGCGTTTCTTCCCTTAATTTCATGAGCCGTAAAATGATGCTCACTCTATCCCTAGAATCTACTTCTTCAACAATTTCGCTTCGTCTACGTCTTCTTGGTATCTTGTGAAAGTTTCAACAGTTTTCACTTATTCGTTTGGGAATAATAACAGTTTTAAATTGTGAGTGTTAAGTGATCGGAAGTGCCATTAATAATGTGATCTCTTCAAATGTAATTACAAATCATTCCAAAATGAAACAATGGAGTTTATTTCTGTTAGCGCGGTGTGATAGCCATCAAATGATATTTTCTAATGATGTGAATTCTGTTTTTCCAGCACTATGCAGTGACTGGCAATCAGTTAGTGAATTGTGTTCCTAAGTAAAAATTGTTAAACTGCAATGGGTCACTCATATGAGAGGCATAGAGTCTCTGAATGAACTTTGTCGGGTGTATTGGCGTTTAAATTTAACTGTCTAACAAAACAGTACAGAAAGCCCTGATTATGTAAGACAATGGCAGGAGATATTCTCTTGATTTATGGGATTGATGTGAGGGACGAAGATGAACAGTCATTTTCCGCTAGCGTTTGTGCCAAGTGTTTTACCACGATTTTATCTATCAAAAGGAGATATTGTGTTACGTTACGTCAATTCATGCTGCAAAAAAAGCCGTTGGCACCAGTAGGAACATGTGGTGTGCGTTTGACAATAGCATAAATGTGAATTCCTTCTCCGTTTTGTCGGCACCGCTTGGGTGGCTGCATACAAAGATCCATTTCAAGCAAACATTGCAAAACATCCCAAGCATACCTCCCTCCATCCCCATGTATGCAAGGAACTAACAAACACAATTTATATAGAAACAAGAAAATACTCCCCCGAAACTGCAAAAATTGAGGAAGCTAGTGGACTGGAAGCAATATTCAATCTTCTCAAAGAAAGATTTAGCCATGTTCACACTGCAATATCACATCTCAAACCAGTCAAACAATTTTCACTTCCAGAAATCTCCGTAGCTATCGACAATTACATATTATGGCCGCATTCAGACGCTATTTCCCGGCAAAGTTATCCCAAAGCAACACATATCATAGCAACACTGTATTCCACACATACAACAATACATGTTTGCTCTCGGGCTTTTGGGAGAACAGGACACAGAAAGCAGCCACCAAGCGATCTCAAAACTGGAAGCCAGATCACGAAGGATCCCAAACCAGATAGACATAATGCGTTTTATTTTTGTGTCGCATCTCCTGCAAATAGCTCCCTCACTGCGAGCTGCTGGATATGTTTAGAAAGAAAAATTGTTTAAATTTATACTTTTATTCTGTACATGTTCATTTTGTGAAAAGAAATCGGTGCTGTATATTGAAGATACGTCAGTATATCATTATTTAGGAGGATACACAATCCATTGGATACAAAAAGTCATGAATGCAGGGAAGCGTTTTGGCTATCATGCTCATGACGAGTTCCATGTTCGTGCTGGAAACAAAATTTTAAGTGAGTCAATTTCTAAACACATTTTCCTGTCTTACGTGGCAGTTTTGTAAATATTTATCATTAGGCTTATAAGTTATTTGCCACTCAATATGTGTTTGTTGTTTTGACTAACTATAAATAGACATACATTTTAAGAGCATATAACTCCAAAACGTGAGCTGCCATGGTATTGCTATTTCGCACCAATAAAGAAGTTTAGTTGCTTTCTCTAAAGAACAAACTTGTGTTCACGTATGATATTTTTTGTTTGTGCAAGACGATAAAACATGGGTTGAAAAATTCATTTCACCGGCTACCGACGCAGGTAGCGAGAGGTCGGGTTAGTGACCTGTGGGTGACTGGCCCGCCATGACCCGGTCACTCCATCGCCGAGCCAACTAAAAGATCGGTGTTTGTACGCCGTGTGCTCTCTAATCATGTTCTGTCATCTGCTTTCGTCTCCACTTTACCCAGATAGGAATGGGTACCCGACCATAGACAGAAAGATCTCGTTAGTATTTTAGTGTTTTAGCACTATAAAAAAAACCCAGCTTTCACTGTACGCTTCTCATGAAGTTGAGATTTGTTTCAGAATGCTATCAGTTCTGCTGGGGTAATAATGTAGATTAAAAAGCACATGATAGAAGCTTGCTATTGAGCAGAAATATACACTATATAAAAGCTTTCTATTATTATTATCACAGTGAACATTAAGGACCATACCTTGAGTGTTTAATTTTAGTTAGAATTTTATGGCACTTGTAACATAAATACGATAGAGTGCCACAGATTAGAGGTGTGACAAGAGAGTAACATACAAAGAAAAGAACGAGAGAGATATGGATGGAGGATGTTTGGTGAAAAGAGGCAGCACATCACACACAGAGTGCCCACCAACCATCCACTACCGTCGGAGTGAGAGAACGAGTGCATGAGCTAAGCAAAACAACAAGCCCTTTTCCAAGCCCTGGGGAACAGTTTAACAACAGACCGAAAAACATAAAAAACAAAAGAAACTAAGAAGGACCTTCAGGGTAATCCTAAGAGAAAAATAAACACAGCCTGCAGAGAAGCAAATAATATCCCTGAACCCCCCATTCACAATTAGAGTTTAATTGGGTCAGGTCAGGTCAAACCTAATAATGTGAATGTCATGACCCAAAACAATCTGAGGATAAAATGAAAAATTCCAAAAGAACTCACACGCAAAGTTTAAGTGGAGCCCTTAACAATTCAAACAGCAAGATTAAAGATACAAATGAGAGAAGGAGGATAAACAATCTTTTGTCGTAAGCAACTAGCCTGAAGCGTAAAAACAAGAGTCTTTGAGTGGGTTTCCATGTCTCGATGGAGTGGTGGAACGAAACTGATAAAATATTCTTCACTTGAGATGTCTTTGCAAAGCCTTCAGCAGAATACACTGACAAGATTAAATAATGACGAAAATTTTGAAATGATAAAACCCTCAAAGAAAAATTTAGTTTGTTCGTAACGAAAGCCATGCCCTTACCTGTAGGCCTTTCCTCTCCACTTGTAGCCTTGCGCAGAGTCAGAATTGTGCTCTATGGCTTTGGTGCAATCATGAATTGCCTTCTTGGGCTTTTTCATCTTCAAGTAAACACTGGGTGAGAAATTTAATATATACAGTAAAATGCAAGCTAATCACATTCTCCAATATATTCATCATATGGTATGGAAATAACGCCTCTTTCAACAAAAAGTTATCAAAGAAGTAGAATGCAAATTCAAAGTCCATCTCTAATAAGATCAAGCCAAATAATGTGGAAAGCCAAAGCCACAAAACATAAAGGTTGATCTGACTGAAACTTATTTTAAGATATAAGTTGAGTGATGTCAGTCAGAATACGGAGGGGAGAAAAAACAACAAAAACTGCATTTTCGGAGTTGCCTGTTTAGAATCCTGCACAATGATATGCTCCGCCCCTACCTAATGTATCGGTCATGGCACACCGGCAATGGAATTTTAGTTGTAGCGGGAGGTTCCCCGCACCCTGTCGCCGCTCTGTCTGGCCTGACCTCATTTTTGGTACTTTTCAACGTACAGTTTTAGGAGTATCCGAGCATTTATGCAGGGCTGCCTACCTCAAAGTTCCCATTTCAGGTAGATTCAGGGTCATTTTCAGGTAGTTTGGCCCAAAATCAGGTAGTACAGAGATAAAGAAGGAAAAAAAAAAGATGATCGTAGCCCCATCGAACGCGCCTGCTTTCTGTGATATTGGGTAATTATATTTTGAAAACTTGTAGGTGTGTGTGTGTCTGTGTACTGTGGGTTCACATGTGCATGCTCTTGCATGTGTTTATATATGTGGGGAGGTGAAGGGGGTGTTTGGGTGTGCACAAGTTAAGATGAACAGTTTGTATGAAATGAGGCGAGGTTTTTTTTGAAAGAATCATTTATGGACTATCGTTCAAGGCACCTATCATTCAGTATTGAATTTGGAATTGAGTGCAGGGTGATTGCCAAACTGACTTCAAAACCCCTAGCCCATACCAATAGAAACTATATTAAAACATATTTCTCCACACTAGCATAGGACACTGATAAGTCCTTCGTGACTTAGGTATGACAGACAATTAATTCTAACTAGTTTTACCCTAAAAATACAAAATGAATCCTGATCTGGGCCTGATGAGAGGCAAGAAGAACATCAACTGCCAAAACCATGTTTGGTTTCAGCAATCACGGATTTTAAAAAGCATGCAAGACAAAACTTATTTATAAAACCTTTATAGTTAGGCTTATGGTAGAGCAAAAAGTGAAAATAAAAGAGAGCGTGTACTGAGAGCCGGAGCTGGAAGGACTGTGAGAGTGTGGGATGTAGTGATGCTGAAAACCTGGCAAACAGTGAATCACTGCATCATTGAGTAAGTCAGATTTTTTTTCAAAATGCTACATCACAGTACCAGTTTTTAATCAGCAACAGGCCATCATGATGCATAGGCATCCAACATAGAGCTTTCCGAGGGTCAAAAATGGCATTTCCTCATTGCCACTATTCAATTTGTCATCACTGACAAATCCGGGAACACCAACCTTGAAGAAACAATCATCAAGCCTGTGCTCTAATGTTCCCTCATTTATGTACTCGATTGTCGAATGACAAAACCAGTTCCACTTATCGTTTTTATTTTAGCATCAGTGTCTTGCACCGCAGTCTTTTCCTGTTGCTGTAGACTTTATTGCGTCAAACACCTCCCTTCAATTCTGACATCCTGCAACACTCCTACTTTGAATGAACTTTGATTAGGCTTTCCCCAACAACCACCGGCCGGTCCCTTACTCACGCCGTATTCACGAACTCGCACAGGTTCACTGACCGGTCACGATGACGGGCCCGACAATCTAGAAATCGGAGGACGCTTGTTTTCTTTTTCTTCGTTTTTTTGTCATTATAGTGACATCAGTGAGAATGAGAATATCGATTTAATTTGTATGGCGACATTGTGTTTTTTATGCACAAACTGCACGTTACAAATTTTTATTAACTGTAAATCTAACGTTAACAAACTATCATCGAACAATTCTGAGTGGCATCGAAAGCAAAAGTAGATTTTGATTTTAGCGATGGAGTCTCAGTGTGACACCTACGGTTCCGCCTGCCGCCATAGCCGCTTATTGGCGTGAAACGTACTCTTGGACTGGGGAAAGCCGAACGTAATATCACAAACGCGACCGGTACAATATGAACTCAGTAGCCTTTTCAGATTTGGTTTCGATGACTTTGTGCATTTTCTCGGGTCTCAGCAATTTTAAAATCCAGATTCCCGGGTAATAATTCCAGCAGTCCCCCTGCGTAGAATCCTCATTTGATACTGACCTAGGTACTGACCAATTCTCTAGACCAAGACAGATTTTAGAATGTTTTGCTTCCATACCGGTTTTCTTTCTACATTCACAATTCTGTTTTCTAAATAAATGAATTAAATGCACAGATTTTCCAGCCGCAACACAAACCCGAAGATAGACAGAAAGAAAGAATGAATGAAAGGAAGGAGGAAGATTACCTATCGTGAGTAGACAAGATTTTAGCCGATATGCACGTGAAAATCTATTGCTGACCGAACGGCACAGATAGACAATGGTCGAGAGTACGAAATGCGCAATCTGGCAGTTTTTAATACAACTTAAATTGCCGAGAGATGCCGTAAATATCTGACAAGTTACGAAGCCAAGTGCTGATCTCTCTCTCTCTCTTTTAACGCATGGAGTTGATATGATGATGCAGCACGTACGGAACTTTCGGAATGTACGGATTTCCGTAAAAACAAAGAACAATGGAAGTACTGCAGAATTTTTTTTCCTTTTTATTCTTTTGGCAACCATCGCACATCCGGTAGTTTTGACAAATTATCGGTATGGCGGTATAACACACCCAAAATCGGTATCTACCGGAAAAATCGGTATCTACCGAAAAAATCGGCAGATTTAGGCAGGCCTGATTTATGGTAATTATCATTTAACGCATCCAAAGCACGCATTTCTGCTCTCAAGACCCAAAAAACAACGGACATTGTAACTTGGCTGGTTATTTCGTTAGACGCATTGAAGTCAGCAATGCTAAATGGTAATATTTTTTTGACAAGTGTGAATGAAAAAAAAAATCAATGTAAAAAAAAAAAAGGTACGACAAAAACTGTCGAATTTTTGGAACATGAACGACATAACATTGGTGCAGATACTCAGAAAAGATGGTTTCTGCGCGTATAATAGGTAGCGGTAATTTTGCAACTTTATCCATCTGGCACACAATTCTCTATGAAGTAATTCCTCCAAATACAACTTTATGCGTCTAATATAATCGGGAATATTTGCATATTTTCTCTAAAGTTTATCAAAATTACCCTGATGTCTCTCTATGAAAAAGTACAAACCGATTTTAGTGATAGAATACATCTACAACAATGTAATACATGAACAGTAATAGGTTATCAGTTACACTCCATAAATTATTCCTTATTTTTCTTAAAACGTTAGATCTAGGTTTTATAGGTAGACTGAATAACAGGGATGACTTCTCGTAATTGTGTTATAAAAATAATTTCTAGCTTTCCAGTGACACTGAATCAGCACCAGGCTTTTCCAGCTTTAATTTTCGTTTCTATAACCATTTGCAATAACTGACAATGTTCTGATTTCTTTACATTCATAAGTGTCCGACACAAAATCTAAGAATGAATGTGTTTAGCTGTCATTTTTTAAATTCCACACTATTGCCGAAAAGTAATTTGATGTCAAAGTCGTCGTTCAGGAAAGCGCCTGAGATGCTGTCAGTAGCACAGTAGTTTCGACGACGAGCAACTTGGAGCCGCTTTCCCGAGATAAGGAGTTAAACAAATTAACACCTTAATGAATAGTTATCCTATCGTTACTGCGAGTTTGTAAAAGGCTTTAACAATAGACACAATCTAAAAAAGGAACACCACCATACCTTGCACGCTTTGCATACAGAGGCGATGACTGTGGATTTAATTTGATGGCATCCGTGAACAAGTCAATAGCATCTTCCAAGCGACCTTTGAGAAAGAAAACAAATAAAAAACATTTTTTTTTAAACACAAGACTATAAAAGATATTGAAGGAATAGATACAAATAACAATGTCAAAAATAATTCCAAAACATAAGATCATGAAAAATTCAGTGTCCTTCTGTTCAAATTATTATTGAAACACTTTGAGTAGCCCTGAAAATATACATTGTCTGTTGTGTTACAAACACAAGACAAAGCTGCTCCATCCCTGAGGTGACACTCGTACATCACAACATCTATGGGGAAAGAATGGTATCTTTTCTCGTAATTATTAAGCCTTCTGTCTAGCTCTCTTTTGTGTCAGACTGTCAGCTGAGGGTAGGTAACAAAATATTATAGACTCCCTGCCTTCAAAATTACCCTTTTTGATATGAAAGGGCGTTTGACAAACGCAAAAAAAAAAAAATATAAAAAAAGAATAAAAAAAAAAAATTGTAAGTGGACACATTTCTAAGGCAATCTGCTTTTTGTGGTACTTGCTTAATTTATCATGAAGCTCATTCGTAGCAAACCTTTACCGCCGGGACTAAAATTTACAGCCCCCTTCCTCAACAATTTGTCTGTTGTACATTTTTTAAAGACACCTCGAACTTTCAAAACTCAAAGAACAATTTTTTAAAATGTCTTTCAAAATCACTTGGCATATACAAAAGTGTTTTATAGCAGCCTCAATATCAATTACATATTTTCTCAAGACACTGAACAGTAGCTCTCACAACAGACTTGTTAGTTGCAAGAAAACTGACAACCATTCATTAGACCGTACCTTGTACGCTGGATTTAAAAAAAAGAAAAAAAGCAGAAAGAAATAGACTCATTTGCCTTGGAATAGTGACTATGCACATTAAGTCGACTACCTTCAGCTGTCGCATCCAGTGCTGCAGAGCGCTTGTCATTTGCTTCATCCATCATTTCATCCGTCACTTCGATGTTCTCGTCTCCATACTCTGGCATGTCTTCGTCATCATCCTCGATGACTCCTTCCATGGACAGCTCCACATCGCTCTCCACCTCATCTTCCTCTTCCCCCTCCTCTTCCTCTTGTGGCTCGTGCTTGGGCTCAGGCTGGGGTTGAGTATCTGACTCTGGTGGAGGATCGTAGTTGGGAGGCTCTTTCATGGTGAATGGGACCTTAGCTCCCAAGCTGGGTAGGGGAAGACATTCGTCGATAAAATTTGAATCCTACAAAGTATCTCTTTCACACACTTGACTGTCTTCTTAGAAACTCAGGACGCATTACTCATAGAGAAGCTGTCATCAATAACAATCTTAATGAGCTAAACGGAAAAAGAAACATCATAGGCAGTCAGTCCTCTGAGAAACCACTGTTGATATTTTTACTTCATTGTGTCAAAGGCTCACAACTTACTACTACTACTAATAATAAATAGCATTTATGCTGTGCATTTCCATTTTCTAAAAAATGCTCAATGCGCATTACATAAAAAAAAGACATCACATCTTAAAAATTAATAGATATTGTACGTAAAACACAGTATTATGTATATATAATATATATAAAAACATTCTATGAGAAAAACAGTCTCATAGTGAGCTTAGCAATGCGTTCACTAAAAATATACAACAATGCAATAAAAATTCACAAACGGTCATAAAAAAATTGAAACTTGAGTAACTACAAATATTCATTAAAACATTCGTTCTCAATAAAAAGAAAGACATTTCCATTCTCTCTCTCTATCAGTACCATATTAAAAACAGAAAACGGCAGTTTTGTATTTGATTCTTTCTTTTACTGGCAGCCAGTGTAGTTCTTTCAGAATTGGTGTTACGTTGGCTGATTTCTTTTGTTTCATTACCAATTTTGCTGCTTGACTTTGGAGTACTTATAACTTTGATAGTTTTTCGGCCATAAAACCGGATAAAATAGCATTTACAGTAATCTAGTTTTTATAAAATCAGTGTTGTCACTAATGTCTTGGCTGCTGCATTAGTTAAATTTAAATAATTTCTTACACTGCCAATTTTCTGAAGCTGAAAATGGATGCTTTTGCTGAGCTGACTAATTTTGGAGGACATAGACATATCATAATCCAACTGAACCTCTAGATTTTTAAGACTTCTTTTTGAACGAATGGTATGCTTATTGATATCAATTTGTTGTTCTGGGAGATTTCTAAAGGCTTTTGTGTTCCCAAACAACATTATTTCCGTCTGTCATTATTAAGTTTCAATTTATTACTAAACATCCATATTTTTAGAATACATTGCTCAGTGGAATCGACTAAAAGTGATATTTAGACCTGCATGTGAGCCTCAACCAGATTGTCTGAAAATTTTGCGCAACCCCCCCCCCCCCAATAAGAACTTTTGTGGGTGTCATAAGGAAGGATTTCTGAGTAACAAGCGACCACCCCAGCAAACACAATAAAGAAGAGACCTAACGCTAACCCTACCTCTAGGCCTACCCCAAAAAAGAACCAGCAACGGGCCTCATGTAAAAAGGCCAGCACAAGTCCAAAATGAAAAGATTTTAAAAATTAAAAAACCACACTCCAAAACAAACAAGGAGCATAATATGGCCTACATCTACATTGCTATATAAATATATAAATTGGGTTTGATACATTATAACACAATAGAATTGGAATATATGAATCCTCCATATAGATCTAGAAGTAATCTAAATAAATCTAAATCTAGATCCACTAGATCTAGGTCTTGTAGAACAAGTGAATAGGAATAGGCCTTGAACTAGAAATCCGCATCCGATTCCGAACAGAGGGACTCAGCTGATGAGTTGGCCAATAAATAATTCACGCACCTGATGAAATGCTTTTTACCAACATTAATATTACAGCACAACCTAAGATAGGGTTTGACACAATAGAATTGGAATATATGAATCCTCCATTGAGATCTATAACGATCTATATAAATCTAGATCTAGATTCTATTAGAACAAGTGAGTCGGACTTGAATGAATCCACACGATCTGAACAATTGAATTAGTCAACAAACTAAATTCAAAATGGCCGTTCGAGCACGAAACTGAAAGTAGATAATTTAGTTCGTCGTCCTTTTTCGTATTCGCATTTTTCAACGCCGACGTCGGCAGTCGGCACGAAAACGAAAGTGCCGAACAAAGCCGACGGGAGAAAAGGGGGCGCTGGCAGTCAGTCAGGCCTCGCACTACGCACAATGACCCAAACAGGTGGGCCTACCGAGAGTTTCGGCCAGCTCGCGGGTCGGGTCGCGATTGTTGGATTTCAGACGATTGTCCGCAAACATGCAGGTCTATGATATTTGATCGAAATCAATAGATTTATAAATCGGAGTAAAATCAGCATAATGACGGTAATTCATGCCATATTGTCTTAAAATATCTGCAGTAGGTTGTGTATACCTTGTAAACAAGACAGGCCCAAGAACAGACCCCTGAGGAACACCAAATCTAAGCAAAACATTATCAGAACACATGCTTTCAACCACAACTGCTGGTGTTCGATTTTTAAGATATGACTCAGACCATCACAGGATAGTACCCTTTACACCAAATGTAGTATTTGGTCTCTTGAGTAAAATGTCATGATCAATGGTATCGAATGCAGCCGAAAGGTCCAAAAGAGTAAGAACCTTTTTTTATCAATATCTTTTAAAATATCAATATAGACCTTAAGTAACGCTGTCTCTGTACAATGGTGTGCCTTGTATGCCGACCGATAAACTCCGCTAAGATTATATGCTTTAATATGATGTAAGAGTCTGTTAGACACAAATTTTTCCAGAATATTAGATAAGAATGAGAGATTTGAACCTGGTCTAAATTATCAAAAATCCTTTTCATCAAGTCCAGCTTTTTTCAAAAGGGGTCTAACATGTGCCGTCTTAAAACAATTTGGTACTGTGCCCGTGAGGAGAGAGACAATCATTTACAATTTAGGTGACATGTGTCATGTAAACATTTTTTAAAAAGGCTGGAGGGCATACTATCCTGGAAACACTGTACTAATTGCTTGTGGGGCGGTACCATGAGTTTAAAATAAATTTGACATCTTTATAGGGCCAAATTGTTTGAGATCTTGCTTAGCCCCACTTTCTGGACAGGTCCAGTATACGTTTTGGGCACACATAAATCTATCAAAATTAAGCATTTGATTTCAATGTACAGTCGAACCTTCCTTAACACATCCCCAGGTCTTCTCTACATAAGATTTTTTTAACATTCAAGAGGGACCTACCATTCTCAAGGAAAAATCAATTTGCGTTTTCCCCACCTTCCACTTTATTCTGGCACGAATTGGAAACCAGTACAGGCTTGGGGAGTGGGGGCACCAAACCCATAAAAAATCAGATGGAGCACATCTTGACATCTATAATTTACAGGTAAATCTATATCCATTGTCTTCACACTAGGCCTATTCAAATCAAGAAAAGTAATCCTCAGTCCTACACGTTTCATTGTCTGTCTTTGTCTTTTAATGAGTCTTGAGTTGCATACAGAGAGGATAACAATTGCTGAATGAAAAACAACAAGACCGACCAAAGCAACACACAGAGTGCAAATAAATTAGACCTTCAAGTTGTTCTCTAAACATCCACTACGACAACTATTGGCCTCCATTGGTCTTTTGAAAAGTTGACCCTGCACTGTCAACCTTCCCTGCAATTTTTTGCTGCACTGAAACTTCTGTTGTGAACGGAACTTCAACCAATTGACCGTGAGATATAAAAAGGTTGCTATAGATTGGACACATGCTCAGGCAGCCAGCCCATAACATGATAAAACAAAGCCTTAGATGGAACCCCCAGGGGAAGAGAAAGACAGGAAGGCCGAGATCCACACCTGAGAGTGAGATCAAGAGACAGATCTTGGGCATATGAGACACAATAGGCTGGAGATGGAGAAGGCCGACCCGAACAGAGACAGTCGGAGGGCTCTTCTTGGCAGCCTATACCCAATACACAGGTGAAAGAGGAAATTGTAGGCGAATGGTGAACTTGAACTGTCTGTTTATAGGGCTGAGTAGGCTTAGTAAATTTTCCCTTTTACTTTTACAAAGCTTCCATAAACTTTCATCACACTAAATTTAAACTAAATATCATTTTCCTTCTCAAAGGTGATGAAACTCACAGACAAACAATAACCAACCCACCTTTCCAAGTAATCTTTGTAGAATTTTAATTCTGGAAGTTTGAAGACTTCAGGCTTAAATTGACACAAAGAGATAAACTCTTTGAGCATCGCTAGCTGCTCATCGGGAATGACGTTAACATGTTGGCTTGAGCTCGACATCGTGACGCGGGCGCTTTGTCTTAGTTTCCCTTAGATTCAGTGCTTGCAAAGGTGATCTGAAATTCAAGGACAAAATCAAACATTTTATTTTACAGCATCTTGTATTTGTTCAATTCAACTCAGATGTCTGAATTACATTTTCTCTTTCTGCCGAAGTTATATATAGTTCTAAGAAGAAGCCGTGCCAGCTATTTTTTTCCATCTGTTTAGAGGTAGGAGAAAGTATTAGTATAGCTATTGAAACAAAATAAATATGGTAAGTACATTGATTCAACACTACTGTACCAACGCCAGAATCATGTCAAGTTCCTGACCCCTCCCCCCCCCCTTTCCCCAAACATCTCTAAGCATGCCTTTGCGTAGAAGTGTTGACGTCATTCACAATACCACCGGGCCCTCCCCGCTATACATTAATTAAACACCCGATAGGAAATCTGCTGTGATAGATCTAGAAGTAATTTTATCATCTCGTGAGGTCACGCAATCGGAGGGCAAAATATTTTCATGGTTCCCTAAGACTGAGTGTTTTCTGTTTCCGTGGACCAGAATCCTGGTCTAGGGAGACATTTCCTTGCTATTAATAGTTCCCAACAATGGTTGGAAAAAGGCAAATTCTACCACTCCCAACACAGGCTGGGAATATAAGCAATTTGTACTGTTGGGAATAAGCACGTCCTTCTTGAAAACAATTCAAAGATGTGGTTTTACTATTAGTGGCTGTGTGTTCTGTTGCCAAAAATATAGAAGTTCAGCCTCAAATAGTAATGCATCTGCGGGCTGGTGTGAAAGTAAAATTCTACCCAAGAAGCAAGATGTGTTGTCTTCTTAAAACACATCGTGCAAGACAGACTAGGGCCAGCATGTTGAATCAGCAAGCTTGTTTAGAAAGTCTCAAGACTCATATAAGTCAAGTCTCAGTACTTTTTTAAAAGTTGCCGACATTGTTTTATTGAAGTGCTTGGCTATTCGGACTTGAGTCCGACTAGACAAAAATTATATTTGAACCCTGAATTGAGTCCAGCATGATGTCAGTTCCGACTTGCAATGTTTGTTTCTTAATATTTCCAGCATGAACATTTTTTCGATTATACGCTCGTAATGATAACAGTAGGCAACGGGAAACCACTGCTGTAATATCCCAAGAACAGTCATGGAAAAGTACATTCATTTATCAGATAACAGCGTTAAGGGGGTTCATGATCCAGCTCTGAACTCCCCGCTCGGTAGGGACCGCCACGGGCAGCAGGTGGCACCCGATCGTCATCCAGCTACTGGCTGCAAAAATAAGCAACTTAACATCGCCACATGGAATGTAAGAACAATGTACCAGAAAGGCAAATTAGATAATATAGAACAGGAAATGGATAGGATGAAGCTAAATATGTTAGGCCTTTCAGAAGTTAGATGGGAGGGGGCAGGCTTGATTAAAAGAGGATCCAAAACAGTTATATATTCAGGAGGAAAAACCCATGAAAGAGGAGTCGGAATTTTATTTGACGAAGCAACAGCAAAGAGCATCAAAGGTTTTTGGGGAGTGTCAGATAGAGTCATCGTGGCTAAATTAGAGGGAAAACCTTTTGACATAGGTGTCATCCAAATATATGCACCAACATCAGAGCACGACAACGAGGAAATTGAGACTTTTTATGAAGACCTTGATAAGGCAATGAAACAGTTAAAATCACAAGATCTAAAGATAGTCATGGGAGACTTTAATGCCAAAGTAGGAAGTACACGTATAGAAGATATAGTTGGGCCATGGGGACTGGGTAGAGAGAATGAACGCGGGGAACGACTGGTAGAATGGTGTAGAAAAATAACTTTATGATATCAAACACCTGGTATGAAAATCACCCAAGAAGAAGATACACTTAAAAGAGTCCTGGCGATAGAAGTAGAAATCAAATAGACTTCATACTTTCTCAGAAACGTTTTAGAAACACAAAATCATCTAAATCAATGCCAGGAGCAGACTATGATAGTGATCATGTACCAGTCGTGTGTAAAATCCGGATACGACTAAAGAAACTCAAAAAGTCAAAGTATGAACATAAATTTGACATAGGTCTTTTAAAGACAAATCAAGAAATGAAAGAACGTTTCTCCATAGATGTAAGAAATAAATTTCAAGCTTTGGAAAACATTACTAAATCGGAAGAACTATGGAGGAAAATGAAAGACTCAATAATGGAAGCTGTGGAAGAAAATGTCCCCCCGAAAGCTAAAAAAGCAAATAAAAAATGGATGACCCAGGACATATTAAACCTAAAGGAAGAGAGAAGAAAGGCAAAATCAAATGTAGAAAAGTACAACATCTTAAACAGGAAAATAAAGAAAAAATGCAACGAAGCAAAAGAAACATGGATAAACGATCAGTGTCAACAAATAGAGAAGAACCAAAACAAAGACAGCAAATACATGCATTCAAAAATCAAAGAAGTAAGTGGGATAAAAGGATGCTCAAATACAGGATGCATAAGATCAAAGGGAGGGGATATTTTAATGGACAACGGGGATGTCTTAAATAGATGGTCAGAATACATAGAAGAACTTTTCAAAGATAATAGAGGAGAAAAACCGGTAATAAAGAATGAAATAAATGGACCTCCAATACTGAAAGCAGAAGTACAAGCTGCCATTAGGAAAATGAAACAAGGAAAAGCCACAGGGCCAGATAATATTCCAGTTGAAGTGATTGTCGCGCTCGAAGAACTAGGCACTGAAATAACAACAAAGCTCCTAAATGCTATTTATGACAGCGGTGAGATCCCAGAAGATATGATGAAGTCAGTTTTTATAGCTTTACCTAAAACACCAGGTGCCACTGAGTGTGATATGCATAGAACAATTAGCCTTATGAGTCATTTTACAAAAATATTGTTGCGAGTAATAATGGGAAGATTGAGAAGAAGTGTAAGACCAGAGATATCTAAAACGCAATTCGGCTTTGTTCCTGACAAGGGCACCAGAAATGCTATATTCACTTTGCAAATGTTAATGGAAAGATGTATTGAAGCACAGAAAGATCTGTATTTATGCTTCATAGATTATTCAAAGGCGTTCGATAAAGTTAGACATGATGAGCTATTTAAAATACTGGAAAAGCTAGACACAGATGGAAAAGATCTAAGAATTATCAGAAATTTGTACTGGGACCAAAACGCTGCTGTACGAATTAATGGAGAATACAGTGAATATAAGCAGATTAGGCGAGGAGTGAGGCAAGGATGTGTTATGTCACCAGACCTCTTTAACATGTACAGTGAAACAATCCTTAGAAACATAGAAGAATGTCCAGGCCTCAAAGTTAATGGAGAAAATATTAATAACATCAGGTATGCAGATGATACGGTTTTAATAGCAGGCTCCGAAAAGGACCTTCAAATGCTTCTAGATACTGTTGTAAAAGAAAGTGAACATAAAGGATAATTGTTGAATGTAAAGAAAACAGAATGCATGGTAATATCCAAAAAAGCAGCAAATCCTAGTTGTAATCTCATTAGCAAAGGTGAAAAGATCAAACAAGTCCAACAGTTTAAATATCTAGGATATATATATATGATAACATCTGATGCCAAATCTTCCGCAGAAATAAAAAGGAGAACTGCAATGGCTAAGGCTAGTTTCAATAAAATGAGCCCAATCCTGAAAAATAGAAACATATCAATGAACACCAAAATGAAAGTCCTGAAATGCTATGTTTGGTCAACCCTTCTATATGGCTGTGAATGCTGGACAATCACTAAAGACAGTGAAAATAAAATAGAGGCAACAGAAATGTGGTTTCTTAGGAGACTGCTAAGAGTATCGTGGAAGGAAAAGAAATCAAATGAGGTAGTGCTTGATGAAGCCCACGTGGGACGCTCAATGTTAAAAACAATCAGGAAACGACAAATGCAGTTTTTGGGACACCTGAATAGACATAAGGGTCTTGAACATCTAGCTCTCACTGGCAAAATTGAGGGCAAGCGAGGCAGGGGTAGGCCCAGAACAACATACTTAGGGAACCTAAACAAATGGGTAACAGGGAAAAATCAGGGAAACGTAGCTTTTCTGAGAGCATCCGAGCAAAGGAATGAATGGAAAATCATGATCGCCGATGTCTGTCGCAGATCTGGCACTGGATGATGAATGATAACAGTCGAGGCGTGAGCTTTAATATCCAGTTACTAGATCTATCTAAACTGACCCTCCCTGCCACATTAGTATGAACAGAACGACTAAGTTGAGCTGGCCTTGCCGGGGGCAAAGTTAATTACGCTGACCAATGACCAACGAGACTGCGCATAGCGATCACGCACTCTCGGCTTGCTGGGGGAAGAGGGGTTGGGAAGAGGCCACGGCTGTAGGTTTTGTGTGATGTGATAAAAAAATAATAATTAAAGAAAAACTATAATACTAATACACAACAAAATCAAATTAAACAAGTGGAAAGACAAATGGTGGTGGAAGTAATGATGATGCTGCAGCTGTAGTGGTGGTTTGACTTTTGACACTATTACACAGTCCTAGTAGGCAATTCTAGTTCTAATTCTGGTTTTACGTAAAATAAAAAATTGCCAGACGACCTTTATATTATGTAACCCCCTTACACTGTTACACTCACATAACACATACAAGTGGAGTATGAATAAATAAAAACATTTTTTTCAGACCCGAGCCCGAATAGATAAAACACATATTCGGACTCGAGTGCGAATACATAAAAATTATATTCGGACTCTAGAGCTGGCCTTGTTTTATTTATGGCGGCTTGTATGGCCATACAAAGTGTAAAATTATGGATTTCTTCTGAAATCTTTTTTCAGAGCAAAAGGATTTTTAATTAAAAAGGAAGTGAGTATCAGGGTGTGAATAATTTTTTTCATTATACCCACCCGGGTCGGGTCACTTCTCATCTTTCCTCTAGATCTAGATTCTCGAGATGTTTCATAAGATGTAATACAGGCTGAAGGCCGACCTCTAAACCTGGGGTGAGAATTAGACACACACACTGGCAGATCTAGCCTACTTCGGCTAGATCTGGATCTAGATCTAGTATATGCCTCTACAATTTTATGCTGGGTCTGAAAATATTGAGCACATTCACAGAAAGTGATAATGTTAACTAAGAGGAAAAAACGTCACCTTTAGCTTTTGAATGCTTTATAAATGTCATATGAAATCAATCTCATTGAAAGCAAAGATAAAGGCCAAAAATATGAGCGGAGTGCGACATGTCTACGTACACAGTAACCGGACACCTAGCCTCAGAGTCTACATGATACACGGTAACCGGCATCCAGGCATGTAGTCTCAGTGTCACTTACACGGTAACCAGGCAGCTCAGAACTCCCAGTTCAGTTTAAATTTTATCATCCAGTGTTGCCCTCAACCCCACCCCTCCCCCCGATTGTATTTTTACTTAAGTACGGCTAGAATGCCAGTCTTGCCGTACTTAGATCTAGGTTTGGCCCTATCGACTCAAACCTGTAAGTACACAGGTCTCATTAGATCTAGATCTAGTAATTATTAAAGTTCAAATACATGCAAGTCAGAAAGGCACCTTTTGGTTTTGTCTGAAATACAAATACTTCAGGCTTTGCAAACTAAAAATTTCATTAATTACAATTCAGCCATCAATATGAAGTACGGCTAGCCTAACAGTCTAGTCGTCCTTAAGTACGGCTAGCCTGGCTGTCTACCCGTACTTAAGTAAGGCTTGCCCAGTCTAGCCGTACTTATCTAAGGCCCTATTAACATTAGAACACAGGAGGTTTAAAATACATGCACAGTCATTAAGGCACCTGGTTTCCTTTCAAATACAAATACTTTAGCTGCAAACTAAAAATTTATATTTACAATTCAGTAGGCCTATTTTTTTTAAGGTCAGTCTAGCCATCATATAAAGAATAGGCCGTCTTTATTCGGACTCGAGTCCGAATAACATTTTTTCACATTTGGACTCCACTCCAATTTTCCGCCTTTTTAAAGTTTCCCCCACACCTTTTCAGCCGATCCGAGCCCGCCGCCTCATTGATACGCCCCCCCTCCCATCCCCCATGTTTCCCACTTTCTTTGTTATAGAAAAAGGTAAAATTGAAGATTAGCAGACCACCTGGCACCTGCATATTATGAGCTGTGTAAAAAAAAAAAGACCGATTCGTTCAAATACACAAGCCTGTGTCATCTCGATTGTATACATAGAAAAAGTTGTGTTGCTGTGTAGAGCTGAGCATACGGCAACTTTTGATTCCATAGACTAGCGCACAATTCATTACGTAGATCTACGTCAGGACTAGCTTTTTATTGTAATAATGATCAGTTGCCGGGGGGAAAAAGAACGACGCGTATGCAACGTTCAACGCCCGGACCGATAGTGCCCTCCCCGACACGCACACAGCCACACGTGTGCAGGCCGCCCATCCGACCCCGACACACGCTAACGAGCCTTCTTTAATTGCTTCTGATGACCTGTTGACAAATAAACATTTATTAGAAGCGCTATAACTTTTCAGGCCGACCTCAAATTCATCATAAGATAAAAACTCGGCTCCTGCACAAAACGCCATTTTGCCCGAAGTGATCCCGGCGAGTCACGAGTGAAGCAGGACAGGAAGCCGGAGTCACGAGTCACAGGAAGTCGGAAGTGATGTCATGCTGGACAAGAATCAGGGCCCGAATAACATTTTTTCATATTCAGACTCGAGTCCGAATAGTCACTTCGTTAAGAATAAGTACGGCTAGCCCAGCTGTCTAGCTGTAGCCAACCAGTCTAGCCGTACTTAAGATGGCTAGACTGTCATTAAGTATGGCTAGCCTCTTCCTTGTATTTAAAAAAAAAATTAACAATATAACAGATAGCATTTGTATATCCCAGCTCAGCAGAAGGCTATATGCGCTTTACACTATATTATTACCCCAGCAGACCATAGAACACTCCGAAACATTCTCAGCTTCCCGGGAAGCATAGAGAGTGCAAGCAGCCGATTAAGCGCTCAAACACTAACAAACTGACAAGATCTTTCGCTGTCTATAGCCGGGTACCCATTCCCACCTGGGT